CCCCAAAACCCCAAAACCCCAAAACCCCAAGAATCAAGATTGATACGAGAAATTAAGGTAAGTTTTTTAAACAAAAATAAGTATAATCAAAACATAAGAGTTCTTATTGCAATATTTTCTAAGAAGTGAAATTATAAATTTTACTAATTCATCAAGCAAAGCTAAAATAATCTCACACATATTCGAAAATAGCTTTCCTAAATATATTTTTATTTACATCTTTAAAAGTTAGTTTCTCTTATTCTACAGTCAGCATTTTAGAATGGTAATTAAAGTGATGCTTGATTCTTTCAAATTCCTAAATATCATAAATCACTTTTAAAATTTCATCTTATTAGGATTAGATATGCCCTTTAAAATAATCATTTTCAGTATTTAAATTTACATCAGCACCATTTCTAATCAATAGTCTTATTATATCGATATGACCATTTTAAATTGCAGCCATTAAAGGTGAAAGATCGTAATAAGTTCTTTTGCTTATATTAGCTCCTTTAGATATCAAATATTCAGCAATCTCTTACCTTCCGAATAAGCATGCGATATAAAGTAGAGATTCTCCGAATTCAGTTGCTTAATCTACGTGCTTTACATCCTCAGTTGCAAAATTTAACTCTTTAATTGTTCCAAACGCTGAACAAGTAAATGCTGATCCTAAATCTTTTTGACCTATACTTGGGCCGTGTAAAGTTTATGAAAGTAAGGACTGAATTCTTTAAGAATTTAGTGGTATCCATTGATCAAATCTAAAGGACCATCCTTTAAATCATCCAGTTTAGTCTTCCCTATTTCCGTTAGCGCAGTACAATCTATTTGCTATTAATGCTATTTTAATCATATGTTTAATTTTAGGTTCAAATTTCTCCTTGATATCTATGATTGTAGATCTATTCCATAAAAGTTAATCAAATGAATCAACAAGCATCAATTGTTGGATCCTGTTCTATTTATCATATTATTCTTTTGTTTAGCTTTAGAATTAATCAATCTTGATTGACCATTTTTTAATATAATTTTTTTTCTGCCAATCATCAAAAATAAAGTCTAGTTCAAGATAAGTGAAGGATGTGATTGAATTAATTAATGCTTAAACCCATACA